GGCCGACCATGCGCGCACTGAAAGGGAAATGCACAACGCGACAGGCGATCAATGAGATCCTCACATTGATTCACCGACAAAACATCGTTGAACATGATTGCACCTAGCACACAAAGTCAGTAAAAAGGAGCAAATAATAGACAACAAACATACTTCGACAAGCTCTGGAGTGTAGCAATTCCAGAATGCCCCTTGGACATCCGTTGAAACGTGATATCGACGGCTTGTCAGGGGTTGTGGTTGTGGTTGATGGTCGCACAAGTGGAACACTACTATCCACACTTCGCCAAACTTCTGTTCGTAAAAGTTCGATGAGAAGTCGGGGTTCCAATCTGCACCGCTCGATGATGCTTGGAGGGAGACCCGTAACTATGATTTTGTTTTGTGAGGAGACGGGTGTTTGGTATGTGATACCCCAAGCAGCAAAGTAATCACGATATTGTTCTAGAAGAGACCATTCTTCTTTTGAGACTTCGAAGATTACGGGTCGGTTAAGAGGTTCTATGACTGGTGAAATTTGGTTTGTCAAGGGGTCGTGGGTGAAATAGCTCGCCATGAGGTCCTCAAGTTGACATCGCTCGTCGACTGCGTGTTGATCGAGCATGACCAACGCAGAACTCTGCTTCTCGTGCGCCAGTGTCCCAGATACTGCACGCTCAAGGGGGAGTTTCACTAGTATGAATTTGCGGTCGACCTGTTCTATCACGGTAGCGCGAGCAAGCGCGTGACGTGATATTCGCCCACTGAGGCTCATGGATCCTGTTTCGAAGCCAACATGAACGCCCCCATGTCCACACTTATGCAGTTGATCTTGTGCTGAGCTATCGATACACGGCACCAATGCTTCTGCAGGGTGAAAAATGGGATTCTCCCATGAGCTGATGACACTCTGGAGCCATTTGCTAGGATGATTGTCTCGCTTCTGTGCACCTTGACAGGTAACACTGCTGCTTGCGTCACCACCACCTGTTGTGTCGTCAATAGTACATGCGTCCGACAACACACCACTGTTTGCAGACGAGCCTGTTTTCTCACCTTCTGGTTCGGGGAATGGCTCGTCAAACGGCTTGCGCAACAGTTTCCCGCCCTCACCAACAAGACGACCCAGCGGCGACTCTTCTCGCATCTTTGTACGAACATCCGCAGCTTTTGAGGTGGCGCTGAGTGGCGTAGCTCTCCCAACTTTGACCCGGTGCCAACCCTCAAAGGGGCTGTCTGCTCGTGCTCCAAGTGAACCAGATCTGGAGACAGGAGCGGCGGAACTAGCTCTCGAGCTATTTGATGATGAGGCTGGTTGCTTCTTAGGCTTTTTCGACCGGCCCAACGTTCTTGCTGTTGAGAATAACGATTCCTCGGGGGCTAGTCGAACTTTTTGTGGACGAAAATGATGCTTTTTGAGAAATCCGTAACAAGTCGCCTTCAAAAGATCAATGATTGCAGATAGCGTCTGGCCTTGACTGTCAAGTCGATCGGGATTGCCGAGGCCCTCCGACCCTGTAGTGCTGATTTTGAGATAGAACATGGGCCATCTCTCGATGCCTTTCCTACTCTTTAAATCTCTTCCTGTAAACTCTTCCAGCTTCGGCGAGTTACCGTTGTGGTCTTCGTCACCGTCAATCACACCAAAGCTAGAGTTTCCAAATGTCTTGTTGATTTCTTCATAAAGAACATCCGTGCCAAACTCGTTGCTGACAGGCTGAATCCCAAGGCTGATAAACTGAGAGCGCCGTGTTGCAACGGGATTCGTGGAGATAGCGCCTTTGACGGAAATCGGCCCACATGATGCTGATATGGGCACCCAGGTATCTGCGTCGTCTGAATCGGCAAGGCCAGCTTGTGTGAGAAGTCGAGAGGCTCTGGAAATTATGTCTGCTTTGTCTGCTGGCCGGAACCGTAATTCGCGCTGGGTTCCTGTGTTCTTGAGTGAAATGGATACACCGAATGGCCAAGCAAGGAGCAGGCCCACGACGGCTCGAACCAACCTCGACCATTCCTTGTCGAGAGCAGACCTTTCAGCAAACGTAACTCTCTGCTTGACCCTGACTGGCATATTGCCAAAGAGATCTCGAACAGTCGTGCGAGTGCCATGATCAAAGTTGACAAGCCGTGATTCAGGGGGCGAAGGCAAATGTCTAGCCAGTATTCGAGAATTGTGAAATGAGATAGAATTGTGTGAGATATGCCTTTGGTGGTGAGATGTAATGGTCAGAAGGGAAAAGGTAGCAAGAGATGCTAAGAAATCACCATGCTTCCCATGAACGGAAGACCTGGAAGGGAACTTGGATGTATCTGCGAAGGCGTAAGTACAAATAGCTTCACGTAAGTAATATCGTTTCACCCACGGTGGAGCTTCCCGAGACCCCCGCCATCTTTAAATTCTTCGGGTGGAATTCCGGACCCGTTATCTTCAACGGTACAATTTCCCCTGCTGTAGTCGATCGAGATGTTGATCTTGGAGGCGCCAGCGTCTAAGGAGTTTGTAATAAGACCGCAGACAACGCCGTTGAGAGAAGTAATATTGACCGATGATTTAATCTTGTCGACAACATCCTGAGGAAGTTGCCTGATGATCATACTCTACAGCAGATCATGCTTGTTTGTGTAGAGTTGGTCTTTGGTTGTGGTGTTGAAAGTTTCAAAGTTCAAGTTGGGAAATGACGTCGAAGCGAGCTGAAACTGGGTGAGCTGTACCTAGCTAGGGGGCACCTGGGTTTAGGGCGATCTAATTAAGGCACAGTGGGTAACCGTCCCCGAATCCAGGGTCCGCGAGGTGGAGGTGGCGCCAAGAAAAGATGTGCCTTGGGCTTATAGGCAGCTCAGTCCAGGCTCGAAGCCACTGGAGATTCGACGGGTACCTGCGGGAGACATAAGGGATAAAGGGGACTTGACACGATGGGAGGTGTGTATATTTGAGTCAATGATAGGCCATGAACGAATAGGAAGGATCGTCGTCTTCTGGCCCGTGTCGTTTAGGTAGTTGTCTCGTCATGCAACAGATCCATCACGTGATCCCGATCCCGACCTTCGTACCATCATGCTTCGCCGCTTTCAGCCTTTGTATCCGTACTGTTACATGCCATGCCACACACTTTGATCTGCTGACGACGTCTCTTCTAGCTTCATCCCTTAGTTTTCGCCTTTCGTTGTTCTGTCTTCCATCCACGATTGACGCATCATTTTCGTTTCTTTTCTACCTCGAGCGAGCCTCTCTTCTCTCTACTTTGTTCATTGTCTCCCCGCCTCTGCCCGCTACCCAACGACTGTTCTGGTAGCTTTTACCTAACGTTTCGATTCAATTCAACGACTTCTTCTCAATTTGATGGCGACGACCGACACGATACCTCCAGAGCATGGTGAGTGTTGAAGCATTGTTCATGTTTATGAGATTTACCATCACGCGATATCGCCACTCTGCGATAGCCTCACAATTCAATGCCTGATGCTAGCCTGATGCTAACATTTCAGACCGTCAAGGTCAACGCAGGAGACCGTTTTCCACATGGGTTAAGAAACTCACCAACTTCAAATCATCCGATGGTGAACGTCAAAAGAGGCACAAGAAACGAAGCCACAAGAAGAACAACCCCTACCCTGAATCTGGACAGGTCGGCAACGGTGTAACCAACGGAACGAGTGCATGCACTTTCACCACCACACAGACGGGTACAAGCAATACCAGTGTGGACCGATCCACTCGGACATCTCGAGATGACCAGGGACCGCCAACGATCGGGCGTGGAAGCGTGACCGGTACGGTCTTGACAGATCATGAGGCCTCCCATTCACTTATGGCACCCAGCCATAGGGCAAGTTCTGTCGCTGGAACGAGCCGTACCGTCGGTGGAGGAGTTGAATCTAGGAGGGGGGGAGACAGTACATTTTCGAGTCCAGCACCATCTGTGAGGTCTCTGACGACGACCTTGACCACGATACAGTCAATGGCGCCTAACGGGGCAGGGCCAGCTCAGAATCATGCTTCACAGCACCATGGCAACACGCAGTCCATTCAATTCACCCAACCGTTCCCCACTACAGGAGCACCAGCATCAGCCATTCCGCCCCATTTGGCGCCAACTGGCAACCCAACGACTTACACGTCTGCAACCGCCAACAATCTGCTTACAGACAACGCATCTATCCTGACTTTGGCGTCATCAAGTAAGCGACGACGAAGGCGCTCTCTCGATACCGATGCGTCTGTGCGTGCTCTTGCGCCTTCGTCACTTTGGGGTGGCAGCCGTGAAAGTCTACCACTTAGTGTTTTGAGTGCAAACATCGACCCGATGGGTATGCCCACTACTCCCGGCATTCACGGCAATCCTCGAATGGCAACAGAACGCACGAGCATTTACTCTGCAACAGGTGTTGGGCCTGCGATTTCTGGTGATCGAAACAGCTACTACGCCAAACAAGGGGACGCTGCAAGTGTTCGAAGTGGGTTGCTTGGTCATGGACGGGCTGAGAGCGTGAGCGGCAGCATTGGTGGTCTGAGCAGTCCTCTAATTACGCCACGAGAGGTATTCAACGAGAAGAGCGAGAATGAGAAAGAAGATACCCCTGTGGCTTCTAGAACGAAGGAGGCATGAGCGTGTTGATATTTATTGCGAATGATTGATGCTTTGTTTTGCTTTACGGTACTGGGTTGGTTGGGTCTGGCGGGTTTGGCAGGAATGCGAGCGTATTTAGTGATTTGCTTGACTTATATAGAATTCTGGTTTGGTGCTTACTTACTATACGCAGTCGAGGGAAAGTTGTCCCTTAATATACCATACATGATACCCTGACAATTGTTATGATGAGCGCCAGACGAGCGAGCTTTTGATTAGCTGTACGTGATAATCTGAACCATCATCTTTCCGATCCGGATTTAGCACGCCCCGAAGAGCCGGGTATTGCATAGCAAGGGTCTGGTCTCCATTCTGAAAGATCTCCTGGGTGCTACTACTTATCCCCCTCTCCCGACGACATATGCCGCCCTCCTTGACATCGGTTCGAGCCATTTACTCAAGGTTAGCTTCATCGTCATCGGCGACGTTTAAGGCGTCCTCTTCATCGAAATCGGCCTTCATGATAGCCTCACCACCATGAATGTGGATGGTAGGATCGTCGGTGCTGAGGTGATGATCAGTGTCTTCGCCACTGTCTTCTTCTTCGTTCATCGGGATGTTGCCATCCTCACCCAGCATTTCCTCCGTGATGGAGTCCGGACGGACTTTTTACAAACCGACACGCTGCACATAGGTCGTCAGACCGATACATAAAACTCTGTTTTACCTTCCAGTGCTTTTTGACTTTGGTCTCCTAATGGTACGTTAGAGGTTTACCCGATTAAGAGCTACAATAATATAGCGGACCTGTTTGGCCAGGAACTTTTCATGTCGGTGGGCTTGGCCTTTCTCCAAGGTATCGGGCGATATGCTTCTCCCACTTCTTCCGCGAGACACCATGGGGAGGTTCGAGGATCTCCTTTGCCTTCCCCTTCGCAGCCCACCGATCCAGAAATTCGTGTGGAATGAGAGGAGCGCGGTCTCGTTGTTCTCCGTCGAGCCATTCATGATTCGAGTAGCGCTTGTGGTGTTAGATGGCGTGTGACAAACTGTGATGGGCTCAGGTGTTATTCGGTGAATCTGACTGCCACTGACCGGCAAGTTTACTGTTGGAGGCCGGTCGAAAGACTTGGCTCAGCTCAAGTAACACTCGACGACTTCTATCTCTGCTAGAAAGCTCCCGAGATCTGGTCGTCGTTTGAGAGACTATGATCAGCTAAGATAGTCCCCTATGGCCCTTTCTTCCACTGAATGGCGCTTAGTACGTTGGAGATACCTTATGATTCCTCTGTGAATCAAATGATCGGTCTTTTTTAAGGTGAGTAGTGAGTAAAGCACATATGTGCGGCTGTGCGAGCGTGCTGTTTTGGGGATGAGAAGGTAGAAGGGAGGGAAATGTGATATTCTGAAGACGTAAAAGGTAGAGATGGATATTTTACAACCATTGCCCTAAACTTAGGATGATGCCACTGAAATGGTGGAAAATGCAGCAAAAAATGTGAATTTCATTGAATGCCAGTGAATCACTGCCCGACGGGTCGCTCGCAGAAAAAACTTCATTCTCTCTCTATGTCTACCTCATCTCCTTTTCTCCTCCATCACCACTTCTCTCTTCCATCACCACTTCACTTCACACACTACGAACTCCAGTTCTCCGATACACAGTCTATATGAAATAACTCTATCGGTATGTCGCATCGCATCAATAATATCGGACTTGGCTTACGAATTCCACTTAAGCTAATATTCATCTACAGCTAATCAGTATCAACATCGACGTCTCCTATTTGGCAAGATGGCGACCTCTTTTGCCGGCCTTAGTTCTGAGCAGAAAGCAGATACTGCAGAAATGGAGAATCAAGCGACTGAAGCATTCCCATCAATGAAAGATCTCGCCGATGCACTGGTGGGAGGAAGCGGATGGCTTGAGAATCCAGACGCAGCGGATCGCAAGCGCGTAGAAAACATCTCGACGAGGAAGAGAACCTCGATTACGAAGATAAGGATGAAGGGGACGACGGCGATGGCGACTCGACAGATGACTCCGACGGCGAATTTGATCTGGACCTCGACTCCGAAAGTGACTTTTCGGATAGCGACTCTGACCCCGGTGTTTGCCAGAACGCAGTCGTTCAGTGACTAGATGCATTGCATATTGGCATTGCATATTTGCATTGCAAATATTACGCCAACGCCATGAGAATGGTTAGCCAAACACCGCCTCAAACCACTCGACAGAATTCCTGGTCTCAGACCCGAGATCGCTCTCAAAACCCACCAACAATATGCAGTCTCAAAGGCTCTGTGGTCCATGAAGTTCATATTCAAAGGCATGATTCTCGGAGACCTTCATGGTCTCGGCAAGACTCTCTCGGCACTTTCTATCATAGCACTCAAGTCTTATATTAGATAAGGTCCATGTGTGGCCGTTGCCCCCCTGTCTTGTTGTCGCCAGTGGGTGTCTGAAATCCAGAAGTACTTCAAAGACGTAAGTGTTGTTGCCATCATATTTCTTATATGCTAGGATCTAATTCCGTCTTGCAGGATTTTCTCCCAGCTCTCCTGCTCGCTGGTGAACAGGTATCCCCGATACAGCTCTACAAATACAAGGTCATCATCGCATCATATCACCAAGTGTCAGGAGAACTTGGTCGCATACAAAGATATTACTCTATGCTCAGAGCCGCTCGTTCGGGATCAATTGAGCGCAGTGAATATCCAGCTCGACCCAGCCTTTGTCTTCTCTCTGGTATATTCGGGCTACCAAAAGGTCCATGCCATCAAAAACACGCGCAGCCGAACTTACAGAGCGATATTCAACCTCCGGGATAGGTTTGAAAACTGCATCATGATGTCTGGGACACCGATCGACAACACCTGGCTAGACAGCTTTGCGCTGCTTTCTCTACCCCGTGGACACCATCCACACTCTGGGGGCCATGGGGGCTATATTCGCAAACGATGGACCGCACCAGACAAATGAGGTGCCTAAGGGCCGTTTCATGATAAGAGACTTGTCCAATTATTGGATGCTGTCACAGTTCGTCGGCCTGTCGACCATCAGCTCCTACCACTACCACGCATTCACAGGATCCCCGTCCCTTGGAAATTCAGACATCGACCCAGATTTTCAGAAGTCAGAAGAAAGCATGCACCAGTACTATGTCAGCAGGAACGCTAAGAATGGGGATTCTTGGAGTTTGCTTGTCAAGGCCCGGCAATACGCATATCACCCCATCCAATGCTCGTGGAGCTACACGACATCAAGTCAGCCGCACAGATTCGAGCTCTGCGGAAAGAACAAGCAACTAACGACGCTCTTGATGACTAAAGTCAATCCAAAATAAGCGAATGACTTCGATGACTTCCTCAAGGTCGGAATCCCTGCTCCCCTCGAGTTGAAATCATCATGACAAATACCGTACCTCCCAGATATAGCTGGCATATTATCTTGCTTTATTTCCCTGCTCGAAAAGCCTCTATCGTTTCCCATCTTTCTCATCATTATTCGCATTGATTGCGTCAGATTCATTATGCAACTTGGGCCGATTTGAGACGATAGGCAAAGCAATCTATCCGCTCTACGCATTGAGAACAGCAGAGTGGCGTTTTCCCTTGATTTCTGGTAAGTCTTTGCATTCATATTGAAAGGACTCTCAGTTTTCTAACCCTGGAATCTTTAGGTCAATGACTTCTGCTACTTTGAATCAATCCACTCATGTTATCCTTGAAACTCCTGAGTCACCATGCCCCGACTCAGCAATCGAGAGAAACGGCGAGCACGTTTCGCTGCAGCCCAAGACAGTCTGACATCCGAAGAACTCGAGAAACAGAAGGAGCAGAACATGAAGGTGGCCCAAAAGCCCCTTGCCCATACCGCTCTCTATACGCTGAAACTCTCCAAGAAGTGATTCATTGAGTTCATGGAAGATGAGCACCCTGAAGTTGACGCCCAGGTTGAACTTTTCGCTCCTGATGGCCATGACCAGGATCACATTCTTCTCAAAGAGTACTCTTGCTAGGAGAGGAAAGAAATCTCAGAACCTTGATCCTAAAGGATGAAAAGATTTAGGTAACTTGGTATAAGTTTAGCCTAAATTTAGGATACCTTTTGCTAAGTTTATTTTAGCATCCTATATCAAGGCTGGTGTTTTCTTGCTCACCGAGGTCTCGGTACCTGGCACGCTTTCGCGTTGGAAGATTGGCAACTACTTTGAAGGTCAATGCTATCATTGGTAACATCAGCTGTCTGTTATGATCAATAGAGCGAGAATCCAACCGAGTTCAGAACAGGGACCTTCGAAGGCAAATGAGCCCTTTCATACGAAACGATTTAGCCGTCCAAGAAGGCCCTCTGACGGCAGCCAAACCTAACCTTTCTGCTAGTTCGAAAGATGTTTCGTCCATCGTATCCAAATCATACGAACCCGAGTATCTGGGCATCTTTGGCTCCCTGCCCACAGTTCTGAACCTCACACTGCACATGATGCTCGTCATGGGCTGGCTCATTGGACCTACTGAAGAGAGAACGCATGCGGGAAGACACTTGAGCGAAGCCCTTCCGATTGTGTCTACTATTCCGATGTCTGTTGGTCGGACACTAGTCCCCCAGATCTGTCCCCTCTGTATTCATAACGATGCCGACCCAACTGGTCTTTACATATTGCACCTTCTGGGATTTGTAGCATCACATCCAGATTCAGATCAAAGATCAAGAAGGTGTTGAGCTCTGCCCATGTTCCGGCAAAAAATGTGACTATAGCGAGAGAATGGACTCGAGATGAAAAGTCATTTGAAGGAGGCGCATCCTATTGTTTCCCACTACGAAGATAAGCCCCATATGAAGCGACGAAAATTAGGCAAAGGCTCTGCGGATCAGTAGTCTGGGGTAATAGAAAGGCGTATGAGATTGGATTGCGGTCAACATGCCGATTGCTGTGCCATTTGACACTACTGATATGGAGATAAAGGAGCCCGGTTGTTATTCTAATAGGGTCGTCCAACAGGATATCAGCAGACTTTTGGAGTTGATCACATCCAATATCAAAATAAACTCAGCAGAAGGCATCCTCAACTTAGCAAAGGTATCCTAAACTTAGTGAAAGTATCCCAAATTTAGTAAGAGATATCTTAAACTTATAGAAAGTTGACTAGGTCTTTTATCATTGAGGATCAAGGTCTGGAGTTTTCTTTCGTCTCTGAAGGACCGGGTAGTTTATAACAACAGTCTGGTCTCTCTTCTAAGAGAATTCTTTTAGACTTAATTAAATCATTTACTTCAGAGTTAATCCTTTCTATTTGACTAAAAAGACCTACTTGAGGTTTAAGTCGATTTCCAAGGCATGCAGCCTTATGCGGCTACAATGATGGGTTGGGTGCCCCTGGAGTAGCAGCCACTGTGGCGCTAGGCAAGCTCCTGGAGCTCCCCAGCTTCAGCGTCCCACCTTCGTCATCGCGCCGCGGCTCATCTTCTCCAATTCAAGACATTCCCGAATGCTTCAAGATGGCCATCTCAGTAAGTACCACCCTGCTATCGTGCGCGCATGGGGTTTTACCGTTCATGTGCACCTCGAGACTTATCATGCTGACAATGAATCGCAGTGGAAGTCGTTTGACTTCTTCGACGTCGTCCAGATAAACATCGCCGACGACGAAACCCGACAGCTCTTCGAGGGCAACGAGATCTCGAGCGTTTGCGCAGGCTCTGACAGCCTCTTCCTTGGATCTTTCGAAGGATACGTCAGCATAATAAATAAATCATGGAAGATTGTCAAGCGCTTCCAGGCTTACGAGGCTGGGAGCATCACGCATATGCGCCAGGTCGAAGGAACAAGTCTCCTGTTGACAGTTGCGGTACGGGCTGTTGAAGCTTAGATGACGAACCGATGGACTGACGGTGTTGATAGGAGGACATGAGCAGTGAGCCTGTTCTCAAGGTGTGGGCGCTCGATAAGCTTGTTAAGAAGACCAACACACCGACATGTCTGAGCACGGTCATGATCAACAAT